AGCATAGGTTTTAATACAGTAGCATGTTTTACATATGATGAAACATTTCCCTCATTCTAGATGAATTTATTTATTTTCCCCATGAATGGTTTGGCTACTATATCGTAACTTCCTAAAAGCTATACTAACTTTTACACTGAAGGATGGACTTCCATTAGAGGGTCTTCATGGCTAAGTTTTGTAATTGGGAATGAAGTATACAGTTGAAAAGAGGTGTATGTTTTTATATGCTCTCATGAAAAAAGGAGAATCCCAGAGTATTCCATTAGTCACATAAAAACTTGAAGAGGTAATAGGAATTCTAATTAAAATGAAGTAGTGATGAGTGCATATTTTGAAATTGCTGAAATTTTTTGTGCAGTTGAGACTTCAAGTGCTCTGTTCTGGATCAGTAGTTCTACTTTGCTGCTTCTTTTTCATGAAGGTTTGAGATCTGATATTCTTCCCAGAGAGATCTAAAGAGAAAAGAGGTCTGTCTTATTTCAAAATGGTATGGCTATATCCTTGTATTTTTCAAAGTGACGTAGAGGATGCAGTGATTTTGCAGAAGGTGCCCATCTAGAAAACAAGTATTTTTTCACGTTGCTGAAGTGCAACTGTTATCAGAAACTGCTATCAGGAATATCTCATATTCCCTATGAGAACATGGGGAATCATCATCTCAGCTGATAGCATCCAAACATTTCTGCTCCATGAAGACAAATGTTATTCTGCTTCTATATAGAGGTGATCTCTCAGTTGAGGATTATGGGGATCTCAAAAGGCAATTGATGCAGAGATGTTGGAAATCATGATGGGGGAAAGGAGAAATGTTTTATATTTCTATGCTGTTTTATTTTGTTCTATGTCCATGTATTACATTTGCAATAATTAAAGAATATGTGACCTCTATGTGAAAAATATTCCCAGATTAAAATACGCTAAGATGGAGTTAAAATTTAGAATATATATCAGCAGAAAAATTTGAGGCATTGCTCCTGTTTGCAACATGAGTATTGCAAACTCTGAAATTTCAGAGGTTAGGCTGAAACATAATCCAAACATGACAAAGATATTTGGAAAAGAGACATCCAAACAAATTTGTTTTTGCTCAATAGTCATCTCATAAAGAAAAGGGCCAGAAGTAATACTTTTTGCTTACAAATATATTTAGTTAAGTTTAGATTGATGACCACTAATTTTAAACTAATCATAGGTATCACCTAGATGCATATTTGCAAGAAGATTCTTCTCTCTTGCTGGAGTGTTAACAAAGGGAAAATTTTCTTACTGATTTATTTCAGAGATTTTTCTTAAATAATTTTTTGTAGAATGTCAGTCATAGAGGGAGTGGAGGAGACTTCCATTCCTCCTGTTACAATTGGAGTTACAACTCTTTTGAACTAGAAGTTTGGGCTGACTGGTTTATTTGTTTGTCTCAATAAGTACAGCTGCTTGACATGGTAAATTAAAACAGTCAGGTTTATTGTCATTACTTTTGAAACCATGCTGACTGCAGTCTGAAGAGCAGTGAGGTATGGAGATAGTGGTGGGTGTTAGAAAAATGGTAACTCTGGCTCTGTCATTTTCTATGCTGGAGCACTTGAAAAAAAATCCAGCTGAATTAGTGAAATGTGCACAGCAAGTCATGAACACATGCATGTAATTACATGGTTCTCAATCTCCTGGTCCTTGAATTCTTATTTCTCTTCCACTTTAGGGGGGATTGTGTGTGGTATTTGTTTTGTATGCAAGAAATATTTGCCATACTGAAATTATATTGTTTGCTATTATGGTGGTAATGGATCAGGAACAATCAAAGGGGAGGTCTCCATCTCCATATTGAGATCGTGTGTCCCCTGTGAGCCAGGCTGCCAGGAAAGAAAGCACTACTGCCTCCACTTCACTGAGCAGGGGCTCTCTTTCTTCCCAGGACACTGAGTTCATACACTTATGAAGGCTGGGAAGCTGGAGATGAGAGAGATTTCACAGTTGCCTTTATTAGGCCATAGTCATTGGTATTTTATCCACAGTAGTGGACAGCATCCATTTTCCACATAGCAAGTCAGAGCAAAATATGTCAGCCCAAAAGCATGATATGATGGGTCAGCTGAGGTGCCCTGACACTGAGCTGGCACCAAAAGCATCAGTCCCACTGAAGCCATCTTTACCCACCACTCTTTGTGTCAGATCCAACAGTTATGTGGTCACAGGGTGAGTCATTTTGTCTAGCTGATTTGCTAGGTTAGATATCTATTTTTTTCCTTCAGCTGAACTGATTTTATACATAGCTTTACAGCCACAGATTCATCATGAGGAAAATGGCAAGAGCATGAGACTGGCATCTATGTCTTCAGGGACAGAAAGAGAATAGGTGCTCTAGCTACTCCTTTAAATCCTAAAGCCAATGTAAAGACACCAAGTACAAAACAAACCAAACTGGCAAACGTTTTATGGAAAAAAAAAAATCATCTGTGTCAAAATATGCAAGTGATGACAGAACCTTTTTTGTGGTTTAACTTTGTGTTTAACAGGATATCCTAGAGGTGATAGGAGCTTATTCCAGGTACCTCTGTCAGCCTGTGTGTTGGGAGGTGATGTGTGCCCTTTTGTCCAGCATGTAGTGTAATATTGCCTGTAAATTTTACCGTAGAAAGTACTGTTTTGTTGACGTAAAAATTATTCATAGAAATATGTTGATTTTTGTCAAAATTTTCTGTCTGAAGTGAATAAAAAATTTGGTTTACGGGAGGTCACAGCACTTCCTTTGACTATATCATCTTGATTTTCATAAGTGGCAAGAGAATGTCTCATCATATAAATGACAGAGCCATGTAAAATTTAAAACAGTGAAGTTCAAATAATTACCTTTGATCTTACTGGGATGTATTAACTGCCAAGGAAAGATTTTTGAGGGAGGAAATTTCATCTTGAGCAATCTCAGCTCTTTGCTGTGATTCAAGATGTAAGATTTTTCAAAAGTCAATCTGCTGAAGTTGAGAGTTTTCACACACAGGGCTGTGAAATTGTCTGTGGCAGTAGGTGTCTGGAAGAGTGCCACTCATGCCAGACCAGATTATTTACATTTTTATTACTTAGCTGTGTTAGAACTCTATAATAACATGAACTATGAAGGTCATCCTTGCAGACTACTAACTAATTCTATTTACACAATGATGTAAAGCTAGACATGTAAATCTCTGATACAATCTGGAACGATAGAGAACAGTCTAAACTAGGTTATGGAAATAGGCCACCTTATCTTTAGAAATCCTGATGGCAAGTTATGTGGACCTGATCTGAATGAAGGGATGGTTAATCTAATTTTTAATGTAATTTTTTTTCCTTGTTAAAAATTCTGTCCCAGGAGCTGTGTGCTTTCTTCCTTAGTTTTCAGAGTTGGTCTTACCTAAGAATCTTTAATAACCTACAAAATTTACCTCTGGGTTATAATGTTGAGTTTGCACTGTTTTGTCAGCAGAGAAGCTGCTCAGGTCACGCACTCTTTGGTGAGCTCATATCCTGCTGCTGAAGGGAAAATAGCTTTAATATAAAGACACACATGAGGGACAAAATTTACAATCTGAATAATGTACCCTGTAAGAAAGGCTTGAAGAATTTCTTAAGCTAATGCAAGTTCTTAGAAATTATTCTGCATTATGAAAGTGTTGAAAATCCTCACCTAAACTATTGTGCTCTGGGAATTGGAACATTTCTGATGAAGTTAAATGAGTTGACTATCCTTCAAAGAATTAAACATTTCAGACAAGTAGACCTCTCACCAGAAAACAGCCAGTGTTGGTCTTATCCTCTTGTTTTACTGGCAGTGAACACCGTGGTTGTGGTAGGCACCATGTGCAGTCTTGCATGGGTCCTAGCTGTTGCGGGTGCGCTCCAAAAAGCAAAGGAGTTTGCTACTTCTGCTTTTCTGCATTACCTAAGAAATCAGCATAGCAAGAGAAGCTATCTCATTTCATCACTTTGAAACTGACAGTGATATTTTAAATAAATTTTTTTATCCAAGATGGCTATTTTGGAGCATCCTGCTGTCGGATGCCATCTGTTTGGCGAGCATCATCATTTGTGACTTCTGCAGTGTGGGAACCAAATGTCAGATTGTCAAAGCGTTTTCTATCATGCTCTAATTCTGGCTGAACAGAATTCCTATTTATTCACTTTACTCAAGTAGTGTACAGTAGACTTTTAGGCTTTTTAGTCACACCAGAATTACAGGCAAGTGAAACCCATAGTCTATCTACACGTTTCCCTAGAGCATTAATTTGCATAGGATCAAGGTACAAATTTGGTCAAAGGGGGCTGCCGAGAAAAAGTTAGATGCTAGCCTGTTGATCACTCCTAATTGTCAGAGTGCTAGGTAGATTCTTTTTTTGAGAGCATTCTCAGATGAATGTGGTGTTCTTTCACGTACAAAGTCTAGTCTCTCCTGGCAGTGTAATGTTTTGTTGAGGTATTCACAAAGAGAGTGTTGACTCAGCTATTTCAAAGGAAGCATTTTCCCTTGTCTAGTTTATCCCATCATCCTAAAACTATAGTCAGCATATTGTTCTTTACTCCTGTGCCCAGTTCTCAAATTTTTTGTTTCTCCCATTGGAAGTTCATTAGTTGTATTTTTGTTTCATCTGTCTGGATTTTCTGTTTCTTTAAAATTCATTGTACATCTCATGCTTATGAAATATCAATTCCCAGTTAAACTATGCAGCATGTGGGAAGAACATCAGCAAAGTTTAACTGAAGTTGGATTCAATGGGTGACACATCATTGAATTGTCAGCATCTTTAAGCTGGGATGGTCAGCCAGGGTAATACTGTTATATGCTATGGCTTTGTGTTGTAGAAAACCAAAGCACCACCTGTGGTGTGATACTTGGTGTTTGTTTGGCTTTTTTAAAGTTTATTTTAGTTTTTAATTTTAAAAACTGTTGAAAATCAGATTTTTTTCCCTATATACTCACATGTCTTAATTTCACAAAACAGATTAACAACTACTTCATTTTTTCCCAGGAAAATGCTGTGAATGGAGAGCATCTGTGGCTAGAGACAAATGTTTCTGGGGACCTCTGCTATCTGGGCGAGGAAAGCTGCCAAGTCAAATTTTCAGTGAGTTATTTTCTGATTTCTTTTTCTCTTTCTGAGTTACCAAGCCTGGCTTCAGACTGATGTAGTGCTCAGTCACTTGAGAGCTTGAATTGTTTGCCCGTGTTCCAAAACGAGTACAAAAAGGGCAAAAAGCTGCTGGTAAAGACTTCATTGCTTCAGGAAAAAAGCCAAAAGCAGTTTTGATTGACCCAGATTATTTACACAGTGAGAATATATGTAATGAACAGCTTTACTAACATGGAAGGGAGAAAAGGGTAAAGTACTGAGATGTTTCAGGAATATTAGAAGACATTATTTTACATGAAAATATACACAAATATATATCACTTGTTGCAGTCTCTGAAAAGGGGGTCTGATCAAGTATCTGCAATTTTAATCACTGCAAGGGTTTGAACTGAATTTTCTAAACTCTTGAATGCACTCACCAGCAATGAGTGCACTCCTATTTGAGTGTTTACCTCCTCCTCTTTGGGAATATTCAAAGTTAGGTTTCTCCTATTGAAGCTTTTCTGCTGTCTATGGAAATGTTTTACTGGACTGATCTCAGATTCATGAGTATCTGTTGACTGCTACACTCCCAGTCTATTTCAGGAGCTCTTTTTCTTAGTGTTTCAGTTAAATTGCTTTATCAAAAGAGAAGAAAATACCCAAGCCCCTCTAACTTTGGTATTTAGGAAGCTTGGGAAGAGAGTGGGGATCCTGTGTTCACATCCTCGATTTGAAACAATGCTCTAAGGGAGTATTCTAGCCCTTGGACTGAGAAGGTTAAAGGGAATTCCACTTTTCTGGGGTGTTTGTGGTTAACATCTGTGACTCTTCATGATACTGTCTTTCTGCTTTTTTTACCACGCTCCCCAACGCCCCCCTCCTCCCCCTTTCAGAGAATTTAATTCAAATCAAAGCATTTTGATTCACTAATCACTCCCAGTTTTCAGGGCAATGTGATCCAAAATACTAGTGCTTTCTATAGCACAAATTTAATATCCATCACCTAAAACTTCTCAAGCAAATTGGTTAATTATGGTATATAGCATTAAGGAAGCCTGAGAAGCCTGTGCCTCCTTCAGAGTACTGGAAGTCCCAACAGTTGCTGATTGTGTGGTGATTCTCAAAGGAAGTGTCACTGTCACTGTGTGTTTGCTGTGCACTTGCATTGGTCCTTCATATCCAACCATCCAACTGGCACTGAGTTTTGGCAAAAGCCGGACACATCTTTGGCTGAGTGGACCTTTGATCTGATCCAGTGTGATGGTTCTTGTGCTCTCACTATAATTATGCCTTCCTAAAACTGAGCAAATTCTTCCTTGTGATTTAGCGCATTGAAAGCAACATGGAAATATAGTAATATGTTCTATATGGTTTTCAAAGAGATAAAATACAAACTTAGTAAACACATAGATAATAACCATGAACTTATCAAGTAATGAAACATATGAAAACTTAGTCTGTTACACAATGCCATGATTCTTCAGATGAAACATTAGAACACCATGTACATGTGAACATATACAGTTAGGGTGTATCTAGATAATTACAAGAATTAATAAAATTATTATAATTATTCCATAATGTGAGCTGAAACTGTGTTCCCTGTTTTTTTATGAGCTTACTTAAAATATGCTGAAAATGATAAAGAAATAATTTATTAGAGATTTAAATGGACAAGAATAAATTGAATGTAAAAAATATGAAGCAAAGAAATCTCAACTTACTGTGTATTTATAAATCTTCTGTCTCTCAAGCACAAGCCTCTAAGTTAAATTTCTATGAAAATTAATTCCATCTGATTAATTAAATTGAGTTGATGGAAGTAAAGTAAGGAAATACATTCTCTCTTCTGGATGCATTCTCTTGTCTTTGATATGCCTTAGCCCAGGGGATTCAATGGAAATTATTTCAAAAGCCCTACTGAAATTAATAAAACTAACTGGCATAATTGAGAATTTTCTCCCTGCTATAACATTTCATAAGCATTCAACAGTATTCTCTGAGAATTTTATCATTTTCTGCTAAGATGACCCAAGTACCCAAGTATTTTTCTGCAAGGCAACATTCATGCCCATCAAATTAAATATTTTATGATAGGCATGAAATAACGTCTTGCAAACTGATCCAAGTTCTCTGGTTTGAATGTGTAATTTTTCTCCCCTTTGCTCATCATCTTTGTAGGTTGCTCACTTTTAGAATGATGCTGTGCAGGGTTAACAACCTGATCTGCTACCCAAAGGGAGGCATTCACTTCTAGTTCATAAGCTGGAGTGCTGTGGCTGTTGATTTCACAAAGTTCAAGTTTTAACTGTAAGAGCTTCAGATCTTTTTTTAAATTTATTTATTTTGTACACAACTACACACTACAGCACCAAAGGAGGAAAAAAAAGTTATGTTGCATAGGGAGTTTTCCTCCACACACACGCATGTCCCTTTCCTGTTGCAGAAGTCAGCTCTGCGGAGAAAGTGTGCTGCCTGCAAGATCGTGGTCCACAATGCGTGCATGGAGCAGTTAGAGAAGGTGAGACATTGCCATCTTCTGGAGCCTGACATAGCCAATTCTAGTGAGGTTTCAGCCTGGACAACACTCTATGCCAAATTAAGTTTTCATAGCTATTTTAACAATGTACTTGTGAACAAACCTTGGGTTAAAATTCCACCTTTTCTTTTTTTTAAGTATATTTCTTCGAACCCAGTGAACTGTAAAAAACCCTCAGAATCAACAAAATCCAAAACCAAACAAAGAACAAAAACTACAGAATGCTTTCACACTTTGAATGTTTAAAAAATAAATCGCCTCTCCTTCTAAATTAAAAATTGCAGCTAGAAAATGGAGTATCCTGTTATGTGCAAAATTGGCCTTTTACAATTCCCAACTAAAGCCAGCATAATTCATTGTATGATAGCTATACTTACTATGAGCAATGCAGCATAAGGTGCTAGTGTGAACTTTCCCGCTGTATTTACTAGACTATACTGTTTTCTCTTCAAAACTTCAGAATTCAAGTTTTTGTCTGTAAAATGGGAAACATCAAACCTGTCCTTCATTATTTCTGTGAGCATCTGTCCTGCTTCTCATTTCCTTCAAGGATCCTTGATCACACCCAAGCACCTACAGAATATCTATCACTGACTTCAATCTTCCCCTCAGAGATTTGTCTTCATTATGCCTAATTGGAAATGTGCTAGAGAAATCTCCTCCCCACCTTTTTCATTCCTAGTGGGATATGTGCAAGGAAATATGTATGGGAATTTCCCTATTGCTTTCATTAGAGCTTCATTTTCACTCCTATATGTTTAGCAATGTTGTTCTTCATAGAAGAAGCTGATGCATAACAAATTTATAGCAGCAACCCTATAAGGAAAGGGCTTTTTCCTTTCCAGGTATTTGGACTCATGTTGACAAATCCTACAGTGACTGCCATAATACCAAGTTGGAGAGGTACCATTTCCACCCCCAATGCTTTTATCCACAGTGAAATTCACATTAGCACATGCTTTCAGCACAAAATATTACCAGTGAGTTTTTAATGACTTCCTTCATCACCAGCAGTGCTGACTTTCCATAGCCCAGCGAGTTGGTGGCATTTGCCAGTCAGATAAAATGAGCACTTAGATAAAACCCAGCTTGTCTGTGGCTGTTTTGGGGACCATGAAATCCACCTCCAGGTAGAGGGCTGTTATAAAGTCTATAAAGTTTAAAACGAGTACATAAGTCTTCTTCTTGGCCCTCTCTGAAAAAGTGTACATTTTAAGCAAAATATAAGCTGGGTCTTTCCAGCCTGCCATGACTGACTGGTAAAACAACAAATTGCAATTCCAGGTGAAGAGCAATGGAAGAAGACTAATATTACAATGCCTTTTATTTCTTTATATGTACTAGGTATTTTGTTTGCTTCTTTTTTCTGTGTGCCTTTAATTATTATTTTTATTTTTTCTCCCTAGAGCTATTATTTTGGAGGCAAATATTAAATGAGGGAAGAACTTACTTATTTGAGGAAGATTGTATTTAAATTTGGAGAAACTTGGTCATTCTACCTTTGTAACTAAAGCATTGTGCATTGTCTTCAAATATTTAATTCTTTGAAGGATTGTCAACTCGAATTTATTTCATTTAGTGTGTCTTTTCTTCAAATATCCTTTAGATTTTTTGCAGGCCTTTCCACACTCTTTTGCAAACCACCGCACTCTTCTTCAGTATCTTTTTTAGTGTCCATGTCCCTCTATTCTTATTTCTATTGTTTTGCTTTTGTCAAAACTTTTTATTTTTCCTCACAGGACTGCCTTCTTGTTTATTAAATACTTCTTTTTTTTCTCTTCACCTTCCTCAAATTACTTTCCATTTATGAGAGCTCCTGTTCTCCTCTTTGGAGTGGCAACACCACTGCATGAGGCAATACAATGCTCCCCAAATGATTTGTGGTTGGGGAGGTGGATGCAAACATCCTTATCTAAGGAAGAGGTAGAAATCTATGAGAATTTGCATGGTTCTTCATGTAAGTGGCAGTTTCTCCACAGATTTTGTTTATGAAGACATAAAAATAGGATGTGCACAAAGGTTTTACAGAGTGAGATTTCCAGCACCTGATGACTTTTGAGACCTACGCTGAACTGTGCACTTGTTTGCAAATGTTCTTCAGAAAAACAAAACAGATAAAGAGGTTTCCTTCTAGAAGGAGAAGGCAGTTTAAATATTTGAACTGAGTAGGCAGCAGTAGCATTAGTGAAGATGGGGGGTAGAGGTAGATGTCTGGCAGAGACAATACAGCATATGAAGAGAGATTTTTATGACATATAGTAACTTGCATTTTTTCACCTAGTGAAGCTAATATTTTAATAGATAATAAATACTTTGGAAGTCAAGCTTAACTTAAAATATTGGAATAAGTTTTTTTTCAGCTCACTTTAAGTTCTAAAAGTTTTATTTCAATGCCAGATTAATTTTCGCTGCAAACCGACTTTCCGAGAAGGAGGCTCCAGATCACCTAGAGAAGTAAGTAATGCATAAATGGTGATTACTTTTCATTTGACATGTGTGCTGATCCCCATGGTGTGCCTCTATAAAAATGCTTTGAGATTGAGAGGAGTCTTAGAGAATTGGTTCCCAGTGGAACATGTTCTCCTCTCCAGAATAAATGTAAAATGAATTCTAGCTGAAGCACGCTATTGCTTACAGTGACAGAAACCATTTCACCTTTCTGTTGTCTTTTGCCCATTCATTCAGTTATTCTTTTTCCTTTTTTTTGGTAGCATTTTTTTCTTCCTGGCCTTTGAGCAAGTATTTTTATTTTTTTTTAAAACTATTTTCCTCTCCTTTCACTTGTTCTCTCTCTTTTTTTTTTCCTCTAGAAGTATCTCAAACATAAAATCAAGCATTTAAAAACCTGAATACTGAGGAAGTAGTTCTGGCCTTATTTCAGTGAGGCTAAAGAAAACACCACATTGTGCTTATTCCTCCTACAGTTTTGGTGGCTTTTGAGGTTTCCTGCAGTGCCTGCTGCACATTTTGCTCCAGGAATTACTCTGTTGGCTGAAGGGACTTTTTCTTTGGTGTCTGTTAACAAATTTCACGTAGATGATACCACAGAGTGCAAGGTGCCTGTGCTTTCTATAACTCATCTTTTTGTCCTTGTTTGCAGAACTTTGTGCGGCATCACTGGGTGCACCGGCGGAGGCAGGAGGGCAAATGTAAGCAGTGTGGAAAGGTAAGATTTCCAGCACAGCACAAGTATGACACAGGGCACTTAAGAATTCAGGGTAGCTAGTGGGTCATTCTAGTCACTGCATTTTTTTCTATCACAAGCTTTTGGCCTATTTTAATAGATAATGACAAGCCTGAGATGTGTTGAGCATTACAGTCCTGATTCCCACATGGGAAGAGAAAGACAGGTGCATCTGCAGGAATGAACACATAATTTATCCTGGGAGGTTGTGGTTTAGTGGCTGCTGAAACTGTCGAGAAGGAAAGCTGTAGCTCCTTTTAATTGCTAAGCTAACCCTGTACTGATACTATGTTCTTGCAGTGCTGTCCTCTGTGCCAAAATTTTGATGGCCTATTTTTAGGCTCCTGGAAAAGAAAGACCATTGCTTTCTTTCTGTCCCAGCAGCCTCTAATATTTGTGTGACTGCTTTGTGTTTTCTCTCCTTCGTAGATTGTAAAAATTTATTTCTAAAAGGGTATTAAAAGACTTCAGCAACTGAAGGTCTTTCTTCTGAACTATTATGAAACCCAGAAATATATTGAGAGATATATAAAAATGAAATTAATAGGGATTTAATTTCCTTTCTCTAGCACTATATTATATTTTGCCTCCCTCTTTACAACTAGTAAGAAAGTCCATGTTTCGTCTCCATGGCACAGCACTTCAGTCTGTGGAAAATGAGATTTGTATCTGAATACTCATGCAGATTGTCAGCTACCAGCTGCAACAGGACATGCAATAAAAACATGATGCCCTTTTATAGCAACTACCGTGGGAATGGTGCAGCAAGGCAGTTTGCACATAGCATTTTTAGGGTATGACTTTCCCATTCTTCTCTGCCTTCCTGGCCTGGATCTCCCCTACAGGCATTCGGAGTTGGTTTTGCAATGATAGTATTTACTTGGTATCATATCAAAACCTCTGCTGGGTATGTTCCCCTGGACAGCCTTGGTTGATATAGGTCTTCAAATCCAACCATCCAACAGAGAATATAGAGAATAGAGAAGTTAAGAGAAAGTCTCAGTTTTCCCCTTAAATAGGAAATATTCTGTTAAGAACAACATGAGTATGTAATAGTAGAATTGTTCTTTGCCAGGAAACAAAGAATTAGAGAAAATTATAACAAAAAAAAAGTCAGTTATATTTATTTGCCAAGCACCTTCTAATTACAACAAAATGCATGTGCTCTGCTATAAAAATCTCCAAGTAAGAACTGCCTTTATTATTCTCTTGTCTTGCAAGAAAAGGGAAACTGCAATTGAAATAGAATGGCAGGAAATTTAAGGCAATAAACAAGTATTATTCATGGAATACTTAAGGATTCTGGTAGATCTCATTGTTGTGTTATAGTCCTGTCCCATGCCTGGGATGGCATAGTTAAGTAATTTAATGATCATTAATTACAGTTCAAAAAAAGAAAGTTTTCAGGATATACCCTTCTCATGCTTCAAGTTGTAAGCAAGTGGATAGGAACTAATGCACTCCTTAGCATCCTTAGCATGGCCTTGTGGCTTTATATTGTGTGCCATTATGTGCCATGGCTGACACGTCCCGAAAAATTTAGTACACAGGGGTCTGTCAATATTCCATCTTAGATCAGAAGTGTAGTTTGAAAGAAATTTTCCTTGTTATAATCACAATGGTTCACGTTTGGGACGGTCTTGTAACAAACGAACTGAATTCCCTTTAGATTAAACTTAATTTAAAGTTCACTCTGCAGTTACTGGTGGGAATTCAGTCCACAGGACCGGACTACAGCTAATCCAAAGTAAAATTATCTGAAAATGCTTGTGTGTAATCTCTTGAGTACTAACAGAGCCTGTACTACCCTGTTACACATTACTTGCTAGTGCAAATACAGCTTATATAAACTCTTCTAGGCTTTAGGCTTTTACTCTCTTTCCCAAGGCGATTTCACTGATTTACTGCTGAAGTACAATATAGAGAAAATGGTACCAGGGAAGGGGGCCTGAAATGTGTAGTGTAACCAAGAAAACTATTTCTGTTTTTGCCTCGTAAATTTCCAGAAATCGTGCTTTTATTGTTAACAGTCTATGGTAATCTCCTTACTGTGGTCTTGCCTTGTTGAACCTTGAGTTCATATAAAGTTGTAGCATTCACAACATCCTTTAGCAAGATCCTTTAACTATATGCTATGAGGAAAACTAGATTTGGTTGTTTCGAATCTGTCACACATTAGTTTTTTTCTTAATGCTTCCTAGCTGTTGTGTTTGAAGGGATGCTAATTAAGTGTTCCCAAGCCATGGCATCCACACCATTCATGATGTTTAAGAATTCTCTTGAGAACATAAAAAAAAAAAGACAGTTTTGTAGCTGTTAGCTGTTTTTTACCTGGGATCATCGAGAAATCAGGATAATTTTTTATCTTTCTCTAATACAACATAACAATGCTCAAACCATGTCGCCCAACATCTGTTTCATAACTATGGGCAGCAACAGAAGCTTAAGGATGAATGAAAAGAAAACTTTTTCTCATATGCTTCCAGTTAGCAGTGGCTGAGGGGTTTTCTGACACTGAGGACACATTTTGGACCATAATGCTAAACAGACACGATTTCTTTAACCTTCTGTGGTGTCCAGAGTGGGGTGTCTTCCATACAGATGCAGTGTGTATCTACAGTGTCTCTGTCGCTGGTCCCTTTAAAGGCCCGTGGATTGATGCAGAGTTGCATGTAAAGTTAAGACTGAAATTTCTAATGCTTGGAAGGCCATTCTAGTTCTTTGTTATTTTAGCAGAGATCACCATCCATGTGCTTCTGTTGCAGTCTATATTCGAGTTGTAATAATACCTGGCTCTCCTACAGTTATATTGCATTAGGGTATCTCTAAGAGCACTAAAAAGAGAAAATCTTTTGTAGGAAAACACTTGCAAAAATATTATTATTAGCCCTAACACTGGTGTGGAAATGGTCTTTAATAATAAACACTTATGAGAATATAAAAAGAACATATCAGATCTAGTAATCCCTATGTGCACAGGTGTCTATGTTAATTTGTACTTTCATCTAGACTATTCAGACAGGTTGAATTACCAACACAAGCTGGTTTTGTGGACATTTAGGTGCTCTTTTCTTACAAGTACATATTTTCTGGTGTGCACAACTGTTTATTTTTACAGGAGCACCTCAGAACATGGGGTTTCAGGTCCCGTGGAGGGATTGGTTGCTGGAGAATCAGTGCTAATCATATACTGTTAGGCTGATGTTCTCAAAAAGGTGAAATTAATTTTCTATCTCATAATTTCTTATTTGGTGCAGAAGACCTCCTTGCATGATTGAAGACATCTGAAATTCAGTGTTCCTTCTCACTCAGAGAAGGCAGAAAATATGATTTCTAGTGAACTGTGGAGAGTTCCTATGTTTCAGTCCAACAGACGCTGTCAAATCTCACTGTGACTTACAGTGTACAGTTTATTTTATCAATTTTATCAATTACTTTATTTTTAAAGATAACTTTCAAAGAAATGCCATTTTACCTGAAACTTGTATCCTTAGGAAGAACTAGCTCACAATTGTAGAGCAATTTGAGGAAAGAAAGTGATGGTCTATTGCTACTTATCATTAATATATTCTTATTGCTGTATCATTTTCTCTAATGACTCCCTAAAAGCCAATTGACTTACTAAATAAATGAAAAACAATCCATCCAGAACCATACAAGCTGCTCAGTCCATATGTTTAGAATGCACAGCTGATGGGATGTGGAATTAATGTACTGAATTTAGACTTTCATTATTGGAGATTTTGAGAGAGGAGTTTTCCCCCTGGATGTGACAAAGCAGAAAAAAACCAAAACACTTCTTCCCCATGAGGAACTAAAATAATTCTTTTTTATTGTAATGCACTTTGGAACTAGGAGGAGTGAGATTTGTGAGAAACGTTGTGAAGCACTAGAGTAAGTAAATGACGAAAGAGTGTTTTGCCCAGTGTCAGACTTCTGTTCCAGCACTTGTATCACAGTTATTTTTCTTATGCCCACACTGAATGGCAGACAAGATGTGCCCAGCCAGAAGTATCTGGCCAGCTTTCTTAGTTAAGCCACTTCACTACTCTCCATTGCTAAACTTGAATATGCCAAATCACCATCATTATGAAGAATATACTCTTTGAATTTCTCTGAATGTAAACCCTGAGGCATTAGGGGAAGGATTGAAGCAAACCCCAAAAACCTAGCCAAGATGACAAAAGTCTTTTCAGGAGCTGGTCTTGGTGATGAGGTCCATGTGGCAAACTCGTTTAAGTACATGCTTGGGACACCTGTAGATGAAGCAGCAGGATGTACTTCTGCATTCTAGGCAGGCAGGTAGAACCTCCTCCCCTTCTGAGTATCACCAGAATTGTCCTCAGCCACCCTGTTTAGACAGATTGTAGCTCAGTCTCTCACCTAGGAAGACCAAGGCATCTCTGCATGGCATTTTTTTGTTGTTTATTTAATTCTCCTTCTTGGTGTGCTTGACCTTGTCATTTCACCGAGCACTAATAGGCTCATTTGTCCTGCAGGATAAGAAGGACTTCAATAACAGAAGCAGTGAGGAAATGAACCTGTTAGACGTTACTAAATCAGTTTATAACTTTTTTTGCATTGGATCTTGGGCATTGTCCAGCATGTAGGAGATTTAGGTATTACTCAGCTTGTTGAAAAGAAAACTGGCTTGCAAATTCATCAGTTGGTAGGGAGATTGAATTAGAAAATTCTGGAGGGTGATGGGCTGCTGACAGAGGTAGAGAGGATTGATGGGAAGCTGTGAATAAAGGATCCAACCAACTGCAAATCTGAAATCTAAGTAGTAAAGGCAACTGTGACAAACTGTTTACTGAAATTCTGGACTTTCCATCTTTCCAGACATTAACCCAAATACATTTTTTTCTCTGACTAAAATAAGCTTTAGCTCAAAATTGCAGACTGTATCTTAGTATTTGTTGCCTGTGCTAGATGCAGAAGGATATATATGACCCAATTATCTTCTCCAGCAGTCATATTGCATTCTATAGAAAGAAGCACCTCTCTAGGAGAATAAAACCACATTTTTTGGTTGGGGTGGGCTTTTCTATCTTCAAAAATGTAAAGAAATATTTTATTTTAATTTTGTGATCTGCATCAGACCATAATGGTTTTTTTGGAACTTACTGGAAAGATTTTAATCTGAGTAGGTTCAATAAAATGATAAACTTCATTACTCCATTTCCCTGTCAGAACATTTCCAGAGAGACATTGTAGTTAATTGTGTTGTCATTAAAAAAAACAAAAAAAAGAAAATTCAAATTCTTGTTTATATTTAGAACAAACAAAGCTTCAATGACAGAACATTTTGTTCAATAAAAAATCTGAAACTTTCAGATCTGTAGAAATCCATTCAAAATTAAAATAGTAATTTCTTCTCTATTTCTTCCATTATTTTTAACTACAAAGAAAATTAAGGAAAAGCATAACATTTTGCAGAAATCCTTTTAAAAGAATTGTGTGAATATACCCTAGTGGAAGAACCTTCTCTGTTACCTCCTGTAATTGTTTTGTCCCCCAAAAATCTTCTTGCCTAGCACACTCATCTGGTTGGAGTTAGAGGTATATAATTTCTTATCGTCAAGAGGAATTTAATCCTTTTTCCCCCATGGTTATTACAGGGCTTTCAGCAGAAATTCTCCTTCCATAGTAAAGAGATTGTGGCCATCAGTTGTTCCTGGTGCAAGCTGGCGGTAAGTGGAAAATACTTAAGGAGACTGTGTCTGGGTTTAACTAGAAGTGTTTGTGAGGTTTTTTTGGTTTGTTGGTTGGGTACTTCTGTTTGTCTTGGTTTATCTTTTTCTTTTTCTTTTTCTTTTTCTTTTTCTTTTTCTTTTTCTTTTTCTTTTTCTTTTTCTTTTTCTTTTTCTTTTTCTTTTTNTTCTTTTTCTTTTTCTTTTTCTTTTTCTTTTTCTTTTTCTTTTTCTTTTTCTTTTTCTTTTTCTTTTTCTTTTTCTTTTTCTTTTTCTTTTTCTTCTTTTTCTTTGTCTTTGTCTTTTTCCTTGTCTTTTTCTTTTTCTTTTTCTTTTTTCCTAAGAAGGCACAGCTTAGGAAGATAATCTTTACTTACATGTCCTAAGTCTCCATGCTTTGAAGGACTTGAAGATGGTGGAGATGGGAATATTGCTCCAGTTTTTGTACCATCACCCTCTTCTTCTTCTCCAGGCTTCCTGTTTGTCTTTCTTGTCCTCTTTCTTGACTCTTTCCTTCTCTTCCAGTTTCATAACAAAGTCACCTGTTTCATGCTGCATCACATTGAGGAGCCATGTTCCCTGGGGGCTCATGCTGCTGTCATTGTGCCTCCCACCTGGATCATTAAGGTGAAGAAACCTCAGGTAACTGCATGCTGATGTTTGTTTCTGAAGCTGTCTGGCTGTGCAGGGCCAGCCTGGCTTCTCTACCTGGTCCTCCTTCACCAAGGCATGCTTGTTCAACCCTGTCTCTATCCCTGATACTCAGCATACATCCATGGTTGTTAAGAACCTGTATCCTCTTTCCCCTCCATCAAGTCTTTCAGTAAATTTCCCTGTTTGGGATGATTAGTAACAAACATGACTGGTTCTGAGATAATTCAACTCAGAGTTGAATTGTTCCTGTAACTGTGAGTTCAGCAAGCATACTGCAAGACATCCCCTGTGTGGTAGGCAGTCAAGCATGTTTCATTAAATAGAGCTGAGCAAATACAAGGAAAAACTTCAGAAACATTGACTTGACCTGCAGAAAGAATAGGCTGTGTCTGGACTGGCATCTCTCTGAATTGTCTTTAATGGACATGTAAAGAATCAGGTCCTACACAGTCAGCATAAACTCACAATGCTCATTGAGTTGCACACAACAGGTTCAGATGTCAAAGCTTTTGTGATGGATGTGGTAGATCTTGGAGAGGGTAATTCACTGCTGAACACAACAGGGAGAAAAGATATCCAAAAGAGAGCTGGCCAAAAATTAAAAGGGGGTTCCCATCATGCAAGAATAACTCTTTCTTTGAAAGTATGTTTTTACTCCAAGTTGAGCTGAAGGAAACAAACAGTGAACATACCAGCGAGTCAGAAATGCTGGTTAAATTTTTATTTCAGAACATTCTTTATTTCAGTCCATCCTTGGGAAGTTACCTGGTCTTTTTGACTCTGCCTCCTGGTACTCAAGAAAAAGCTAAGAAGTTCAGGCTGTAGCCAAGGCACTAAGACAAAAGTAGTCCATGAAACCAGAAAAAGGCCCGAGGCCTAAACTGTGACACTGTCTTTAGTTCCAGTTTAAGGATGTGACAGATTTGGGCATGAGTAGGAAGTTGGTAAAGACAAGGGGCAGAGGGAAGGGGAAATATATGGATAGCGTAACCAAAAATTCAACCAAAGAGGCCTCTATTTCTCCTTTAGGTCAAGAGAGAGCAGAGCAAGACACCTAGCCACCTCCATCCTGAGAAAAAAAGGCTTTTTGCCATTTGTAGATTTTCCCCACATTCTTCTTTCTCTGTTTTACTCAGTCTCCTCCAGAGAAATACTTTTTTCTCTTTGATTGAGGAATGTTTGAGTTCTTGGCAGGGAATTAATATCCTTGGCTAATTTTCAGCAACTGTGTGCTGTTTGACAGATGTATCCATGTTTGACTTATTAAAAGAAGCTTTTCTTCAACCCTTTTAATTCTTATTTAATTTTTAGTAAAAGAGAAAAAGCCCCCCCAAAAAACCCAAACAAACAAACAAAACCCCAAGAAACCCTGATGTGTAATTTTCTTTTGATTTGGCTTTTGCCCAACGCAGAGTACCTTCTTTATAATATTTGTAGAGAATTTGCTTTCTTATCCCTTTTTTAAAAAATTACAAATTAAAAAATTAATCTAATCCGGGTAATTATAATTTATGGAAAAATATATTTTAAATAAAGGCTTAAAATATGAAACTGAAAGAAAGTATATGTTAACTTTGTGTGCCTGAGTCATGAGCGTAGAGAAAGGACTTCATTATTATCTTGCCATCACATGGTCAGTAGCAAAAACTTATCTTGAGTAGATGAAGCATTAAATAGATCAAAATTGTATTTTACAAAGACAATGGGTGCATTTCCATGAAGCTTCCTAATAGCACCCATAGGAGTTATAGGAAATATGTCCTTATTATTTAGAAAATAGTGATGCATCTTTTGGATGTGTTTTCAGATTTTTGGCAGAAGTTTTGTTTTCTTATTTATTATTTTCTTAGGAAAATATTTTTACTCTCCTGTTGTTTCTGGCCAGTTCTGCTTCTGTGTATTATGACCCTCTTCACCCTACAGAAATGTTTGGTAAACATTATGATATATTCACATCACTTGATTCAGAGAGTACAAACACAATATTTACAAATTCTTGTAATTTCACATTAAAAAAATGAATGTGTAACCAACAATCTTTTTTTCACATATTCCACAGTCAGAATAAATATGGCTAGAAGCTTTTTGGGTATAAAATATTTCCTCAGCTCTAATTATCTACTTACATCAGTCACAGACAACTCCTGAATTCCCAGCTCATATAAAATTGATTTTAGTGGTGCCTTCATCCTGCTTGTTTGTGGTTTCCTTTAAGTAAATAAGATGGCATTTTGTAGCAAAATCTTGCCCAGGTTTATGATTTTTAATTTTTTGATTGCCACAAAAATGGTTTTCCATGCTTATTTTGTACAACTTTCAAATATTAGGCTTGCACAAAGACCACACTCTGTGTCTTGTTACCAACAGTGTTGTGCTAGTGAAGCATCATGGTGTGATTGGTTAAGAACAAATTTATGCTGACAACCTATGGTCTAAATGGGGAGCTTTTGCTTCTTGTAAGCAACTGATTGCAAGATGAAGACTATTCAGAATGGTTCAAACAGTTTTGGAATTGGTGGTAGTGCTGTGTGGAATAACACCCTTACATTAATGGAAAACTCCCAATACCCCTTCCATGTTATCCATAATGTGAGCCACTTCTGTAACTTTTCTACTGATTTCCAGTATTTCTGTATTGTTAGCAGGACTTTGATGTCAGCTCTGTTTTCCTGGGCTTCAAAGCAATTCCATCTCCTAGTTTGTGAAGTAGGTCACCCTTGTTGACTGGTGGTATTTTGTTATAGGTAAGGTTTGATAGCCAAAGTGGTGTTAGCTCTGGCAATGGACTTGGCTGTGTTATGGGAGAAAAGCAGATGATAAGGAGGATCTGACTTATGGATTTACTGATTTATTCTGTCTTCTGTTTGGGATGACAAAGACAGTAATCATAGAATTCCAAGGTTTTTCTGTTCAAGGTGAGTAAACTTGGTGTTTTCTTCTCCTCCTTTGAGGACTGTGAGCTAGTTCTAGTTCTGTTTCTGGCTTATTTCTTTACTTCCTCAATTGCTGAGTGCAGCTGACTTGTCTGATAGTGGTATGTGAACAACCAGAAGATGGTCAAAATTGACCTTCCCAGATGCTGTTCATTGTTTAAGTAATTTTAAAATCAGTGTGCTAAAAGCCTTTGGAAACTGGGGATGACATGTTGTAAAGGAAAAGGTTCAAAGGTTTCATTGGATTTGTCTGAGGTAGTCCATGGCCTTCACACCATCCAACAGCATCCAAGAAGGACTCCAGTTCTGTTCATTTACCTAAGCTTTCTCAGAGCTATACTGACCATTCAATAATGTGAAAAATCTTTTTGAGGATGGACAAACTGACATCCACAAAGGAGAGGTTTCCTCTCTAGAGGCAAGTTAGGATGTACCTGTGGTGCCCATTTAAAGGTATGCTTTGCTATCAGGTTCCTTAATGAATAACATTATATGTTTACAAAATACTCATTACCTTGTTCTATGAACAAGGTATTATGTATACATTTATTAGCTGTGCAAAGACTGCTGATATTCTTTGGCTGTTACTTTTCTGCATGTTTGCAAAAAACTCCTGAGTGTGTTTAAGCAGCTTTTTGCGATTCATCTGCTACAGGCAGGTGGTTGCAATTACTGTTGCAAAGCTTTAGGTTCTGTTAAACGTGCGTACTATAGGTGTAGGCATGTTTAAAAGGATTAAAAAAAAGGAGGTGAAATAACGTTGAGATGCAGCATTTAGTGCCTTTTTGAGTATGGGAATGAAAGTGGTTATAATCATGAATAGAGGCTTAGCCTTAAACGGTTTCTTTAATATAGCTCTATGTGTTTTCCAACCCCACCGTTAGGTACATTATAGTGGAATTTAATGACAAGTACACTTAAACAGTCTTTAAATTATTCTTTTATAATTAGTCAGAGTTTTACTGAACTGTCTTTACCCTTGGTACACATTTGAGCTTTCAGCACACAGGAGTATGGATAGACTACATCTCCTCTCTCTGACCTGTGTTTTTCCCCAGTCCAGGGAGAATCCTTCAGAGAATGCCTGAGGAACTGGGCCCCCATGGGAGGCAGCTTTGAATGTAATGCCCCCATAACTTTCTGTTGGCATCAAGACTTTTGCCTGTAGTCAATGTAGCTACTGAAGTAGGGCAACACAAGACCATGCAGATGGGATTGCTGATGAACTTAGTATCAGTGCAGTCTTTATGGTTTATCATGCTTTCAGGATCCCTTTGTATCAGAGTAGGGAAGAGTACGAACACTTTTTTAGGTGGTTTCTCAAAATATGGTCTAAAAGGGCAAATTCCTGAAACTGCTCTACAGAGCTGTCTTTTCTTCTGTATTTTCAGTAAGCAATAAGGCAAGACTATTTCCTTCTCCAGGAATGCTGAGAGCCTGGGACCTTGTGCTCTGTGGCAGGCTTCTCTTGGTCTATTGTGATAGAAAACAATGCCTTTAGGTATTTCAGTTAGATAGCTATTAGTTTTTCTTCTCAGGGATGTGGAAGCATTAACTTGTGTATCTGGTGTGTCATACTCAAGTCCTGAAATTCTGATAGTGGTTGATGTGTATTAAACAAAAGAGTATTTAGAGTATTTCCCAAAAGACAAAATGTCAATTATGGAAAGATTTATTAGGGTTTCCTGCAGGTATAATTTCAATTAGTGAATACAAATAAATAACAAATATGATAAAATTCCCCTTTTTTTGACTGTTCTTATCACACCAGAACACCATTTTGCACAGTAACACCAAGCAGACTGTCATCTGCCTGGAGAATAGCCTTGACATAAGTTGTATTTTAATAGATTCTGCAAAAATACAAGCACTTGTACATTTTTTTCCGTATGTAGTTAAGTGATATAGTTATTTAAAAACACAACAAAAAAATCACTCCTTGAACACCTTCTTTACTTAAATCCTTAAAAATTAGCAATTCAGTTTGTTCCTTAGCAGATGATTACACAAGCTTCTTGGTAGGCTGGAACTGACTCTGCAGTGGCAGCATCATATTCCATGGTGGCCTACGTTATGTTCAGTCATAATGGTTGCCAGAGCTAAAACTTGTTGTTTTCTTTCCTTAAAAAAAAAAAAAACCAAACAAACGAAAGAAAAAAACATGAAAAAGATCTTATTTATCATGTTTTTTTATTACATCTTTATGCAGGTGGTCTCCATACCAGGAGACGAGCCTGATTGGGCAGGAGACTGGAGCCCCGAAGGGGAAACGGGCGTCTCCTACCCCTATTGGGAGGGTTGGCAGGTACAACATGTGGTGTTATGTGAGTCTATGGGAGCATCTGATCTTTTTTCCCCCCTCACAGCGTGGGAAAGTTTCCAGTTCCAAAGCACCAGTCTGGTCTCCGTGTGTGGCTTTCTCCATAAACGGTGGTGTGGAAGTGTAAAGCATGCAGCGCATGTAATTTAAATCTTGAGCATGTGCCAGATACTCTTATCATTCTCCAAGTGGACATGCATGGAAGAGCTTCGTAAAGGGGCTCTGTCTGGGACTGTTTTCTAAATTTTGTTTTGCTTTTCATGTATTCTTTTTTTCTTTTGATGTAGAACTCCTTAAAGACTTCAACAAGGCGAAAGAAGAGAACATCCTTTAAAAGAAAAGCCAGCAAAAGAGGAAATGAAGTAGGTATTCGAGTGCTTTGGAAATCATACTCTTTTTGTTTAAATGTCTAAACACAGATTTAAAAGTTTTTAGGCTTTTTTAAACTTTTTTTTCACTGAAGTGTTTTATGTATTTTTCCCTGGGAAATTCCATGATATTGAATTTGTTGTTAGAAGAGATAAAACTTGTATAAAAAGTTTTATTTTCTGAGTTGATTTTTTTCAAGAAACAACGTACCAGACTCCAGAAGGACCAGAACCCTAATGAAAGAGTGTTCCCTTGGGAGAAGAGAAAGTAAGAGACTCTCTGAGTAAGAGACTCAGCTCACACCCTTTCTTTTCATTAAGCAAAACAGGGGTGTGAAACTGGGGTTGTAATACCCATGGTGAGTGGACTGATGCAAGGCTGTGGTCCAGATGTGATCCATTTTAGGCTGTCTTCTTCAGGGGATCTAATATTAAAATTGGACCATAGAGAGAGAAAACAGATTATTGCTCTATTGGTTTGATTTGTGTCTTATAGAAAACCTTGCTTCCAGATCCTTCCTAGTGGGTTAATTATATAGAGAAACAGCCTCATGGGAGAGGTGGAGCCTGCGTATCCAGGACTCTCTGGTTCAAGTCCTTTCCTGCATGGTGGGAGAGCTGCAGACCAGAAACTGGAATCCATGTCTGTTAGAGCCCAGGACAGTGCTGTAATTACCGGGCTTGTGGGTGTCCTGCAGGGGCTAGGGAGTAGGAAGGCAAATAGTTTTCTCATTGACGTATCATGTTGGATCTGTGGCATTTGTTCAAAGGTGGGAAGGCAGCAAGTCCAAGAATTTGAGAGCAGATTATCTGCGAATAAGTGCTTATGCAACTTGTCTGTTAGACTTAATTAATGGAATAAATCACTCATTCTATTTTCCTTTGGAAAAACTGTTTGTATTAGAGATAACACTGTATCTGATACATTATTGGTGTTGTGTGAATAATTGCAGGGAATAGGGTCAAAAATAATCTCGAAAGAATTTTGAGATAGTTGTGTGCTACCCTGAAATCATATTTTTCACCTCTTATTTGATTTTGTTGTCTCAGCTGGATAAATTACTTTCAGCTGGGCACACATTAACATGGCTGTACTATTTCCAGTATCTGAGGTACTTTTGTCAGAACTAGGTTAGGTCTTCTGTGTGTACTAACTTGTATTAAAGCTGTTTCTTGCTTCTGTTTCTCAGGATAACAAGGGCCGTCCTTTTGTGATAAAGCCTATCTCCTCTCCACTCATGAAGCCACTGCTGGTTTTTGTCAATCCAAAAAGTGGAGGGAATCAGGTAAGAGTATCAGCTGGGTCTGGATTGCAAAGTTTAAGTTTAATTGCCAGGTTTCTGCAAAGGACACTATTTCTTGGCCAGTCGGATAGAAAGGACTCTATGCCTGAAGAAGCCTGAAGACCTTCCTCAGATGAAGTCCTTGCAGTGGAATGGCCTTTCTACTTCAGTAGAGTTGGATGACTGGAATGGATATTTGAGTATTTGAGTAGTTGTATTCCTATCTTCAGATTCTTGAAAGGAATCGAAAAATTTGGGGGTTTTCAGATTTCATCTTTCCACAGAAAATTTAGGTTTCCACTGAAGTTTTAGGCTTACCCTTATCCAAAAAGTGGTTTAACTTTGCTAGGAAAGGCTGTTGAAATTACTGAATGTGAAATGATGTACTCCTATGGCATCTAAAACAAATCATTTGTGGTCTTGAACTGTACCACAGAGACCAAGTTTCAGTGACTAAAATGCAGCAGACTTCTTCCTTAGGATTCTTGGAATTAATACTTACCCAAGTGAATATTTTCCTGGTTCTGCCACTTTTTGAATATCAAAGAATTTGAGTGCCTTTTGATAAACAGGGCCTTGTAATAGAAAAGGTTGGTGTAAGATACAACAGAGGCCTATAGAGCATGGAGAGTAGCATAGAACTGCTCATTTTCTCTTCTTTTAGAATTAGGGAGCATATCAAATGAAACTGTTTAGACTGATTCAAAACAAAAGGAAAAATCTGGTTCTTCTCACAGTCTGTAGTTCAGTGAAAAGCTTCTTGCAATAGGATGTTGTGGATGCTAAACATTTGCACAGGCTGGAGGAGATATTTGGAAGTGAAAACCGTGAAGTCCTGTACCTCCCTCTGGGTCAAGTGTTCTATGAACTGCAACAGCTGAGACTGGAAGAATGCTTATGGCAAGCATCACAATTATTTTCTCTCTTCTTATACCTTTTCCCAGGTACTATGACTATTATTCTTGTTTCTTCACTTCAGGGAAGGTGTCAGGCAGAAGAGCCATCCCTGGGAAGGGAGAGCTATGGAAAATTCCTGATGTGTACCCCTGGGCCATGTCTGAAAGGCATTCTTGAATTAGAGTACATGCTCAGCCCATAGAGTTCTTAGTTCTCTGCTGCTAGTAAGAGATCCTGTCACTTTGTGTCTGGAAGGAAGGAATTTGCATGGGAATATGAACCCCAGAGTTTGAGAAAACAGAAATTATACCTTTAGGTGATGGGCTGGCCACACTTCACTGAGGGAGGGACCATTGGGGCAGCTGTACCCCATAAAGTCCTTGACTACTGCTTCATTAGATGATAGAGGTTGTAATTATGAATGATCATCGTGGTGATGGTGGAAGGCAGAGCACTGCCACTGCTTGAACACTGGGCAGCACACTGTCCAGTATGATGGAGATTTTGTCTACAATCTTGTTCAACTTCTTGCTGTCATGGATAGCTGAGGGTGAGGTGGGATAACAGAGGTTTCCTCTTATTCCAGGTGGTGAGAAGCAGGCAAACAGGTTGCTGTGGGAGATGAACCTTTGGTGTGATCCCCAATGCCTGTTCTTATGGACCACTAGTGATCTGTGCTGTTGAAACTGGTCTATATGCCTGCATGTGCACCTCGTCCTGGATTGCTATTCTACAGAGCAGTCATTTGCTATGCCACTTTCTAGTTTGTCTTCTTGTTTTATGTTTGCTTTATAAATTACAGAAAGAAATAAAAGCAGTTCAAATGTAGCGAATAATGCACACTAGTATTTCCAATATTCATTAAGCTGCTCATAACTTCCCTTCCTTTGATTTTTCTCTCTTGCCAGGGAACCAAGGTTCTCCAAATGTTTATGTGGTATTTGAATCCACGCCAGGTCTTTGATCTCTCTCAGGAAGGGCCGAGAGATGCGTAAGTACTGGAGCCTTCATTGCTGTGCATCCTCTTTCTGGTCTGGTCAGGAAAATAGGAAAAGATCTAGCTTGGCTGGATTAGTGACCATGTGAGGTTTACATATCCAGGTTTTGGTAGCAAGGGGAAGGGCTGCAGTGGGGGCTTTGGTGAGAAGAGGTCAGGAGGTGCCCCCATGAATGGACAGAGCCAGGTCCAGGTGGCTCCAAGGCTAGCTGAGGATCCCAGTGCCTGACCATTCCCTTTTGAAAGAGCATTCCAGTGGGGAAAGGTGCCTCAAGGCTGCCACATGACAGCACTGTGCAACTGTCCCTGCTCACTGAGTAACTAATTCAGCTTAGCCAGACAATAATTGAAGTGCAAACCTTTATCAAGGGAGAGAGTACCTCTCTTTAAAGGGCTGATTCTTGCTGCCAAGGGCTAAGAAACCATCCATTTGTGATATTGGAAATGAGGATACTGGTTTTACTTAACCATCTGTCCAGAACTACTTTCACATTTTGTAAATTTGTTTTCTATGTTTTTGTAAATATTATTACTGTAAATATTTTACAGCAATAATGTAAAATCAAATATTTGCCTGTAGAACATTCCAAGTGCTCCATATTCAAGGCACCCAAGCTTTTTATCTTTCTGCAGAAACACCTACACTGCTCTTCTCTCATAATGTTTAGAAGCTTTAAGTTAGACATATATTTTTCAGAGCTGTATAATGGGGAAAAGGAGGGTCAAGTCCTCTGGTCACTCAGCTCTCTACATGTGAATGTTCCCCCCTTCGTTAGAAAATATTTCATTATGGCATTCTGAAGGGTGCAACTGAAGGAGCAGGACTTCAATGGATGCTTTTTTTGGTCTCTCCTGTTTATATTTAGATCACATATCCAGAGAAAGAACACTATTACATATTCTTGCCTTCTGTGGAGTTAAAATACAGTCACTAGTTGAAGAAGCTGTCACATTATACAAGACTGAGAAATAGTAACTCAACAAGTCATGATGAAGAACATTAAATACTGCTTTAAAACGTCAGTGTTTACATTTGTTTGCTTTAGGGTAAGAGAAAAATGAAAGATTTTGACCTCCCTAGAGGGAATGTGAAAATCTGGGAAGATGCTAAACTGATCAAACACTTGCCAGCAGGTGCTGCCTAACATAGAGGAAGGCTCCATTTCACATCCTAGTGGTTTTGCATTTCCACCTCCACTCATATTCTTAGTAAAGAATATTTGAAAATGCAGTAAGTGGTGGTTACACTGTCATTCAGCAAAATGCACGAAAAATGTCTGCATTGCTGTTCTTACATTTTTCTCCTTTTTTTCCCCTTTCCCTCCCTGGGCAGGCTGGAGCTGTACAGAAAAGTGCCAAACCTGAGGATCCTGGCATGTGGTGGGGATGGGACGGTAGGTGGCAGGGACCTGGCAGTCCCATGGTCTTTGGCCAAGTGATTAAACTCCTCACAGTGGTGGGTTTCCCACCTTACACTGTCTGCAGAGGCACAGAGAGATAACATATCTTACACTTGTGAAATCTAATACTTGCTTTTCAATTTTCTGTGTGGCCTGGCCTGTGTAGATATGGGGCCAGATTCTCACGTCCAAAGCTCTCTTTCCTTTACGCATAAAGGTTTTGTACAGCTTTAAAGGGATAAAGACTAATTTTGCTGGTCTTCTCTCACTATATGCATTAGATCTGAGGTCTAGAAGGTTAACAGTGTCTGGGACCCATTAAATCCTAACTTTTGCTCCTTCCTGCTAGATCCTGGCAGATCCAGGTTCAGTACTTTTATTTACAACAGAATTTCCATGGTCTTGGGTAAGTGAATGGTGTCAGGCCATTAAAGGATTCGGGCACCTTCATTTGGAGAAAAACTCTGAAGGTCATGAGTGGTAATGGACTTATTATACCTGCATTTTCTTTCTAATACTTGAAAATATTTTAAATCTTAGTCTGTGCCACTGAGTGCTAAATACAGTTGAAAAACTGACCTTTGCTCTCTGGGGGGTTCAGATCCCAGCATGCATTTGATGGCAATTTTAACAGTAAGTATGGTAAGAAAAATGCATTACTACTCACAAGATGCAGTGATTGGACAGAATATGTAGATATATCTATGTAGATATTTAGGGCAAGGAAAGATGGTTGGTTTATTTTGTAGAGAGCTGAATCCCTTCTCTTAATTTGTCTCTGCTTGAATTTCTGGGGGAATTTTTTCAGGTTCTGTGGGTTCTTTTAAAACCCTAGCTGTGGGGTTATTAATATCAATGTTTCCCCTGCAAGAATGAAGGAAAAAAAATCAGTGATGAGACTACTGCCTTGCTAGTACGTGGGAAAGTAAGACGTGACTGTTACTGAATGATGAATTTTCCTTAAGAAACATGAAAGACAGTTTAGCAGTTGGCATTAGCTGAGAAAAAGTGTTTTGATCTGTTTTCTTTCTCATCTGAGGAAGGGGGAAAAAAGATGAAGATATTAAAGGAGAAAAGAATACAACTACATTGAGGTGGACCATCCTATTTCCCTTTGCTGAACTGTGCGAGCGAGAGGTGGCAGCACCTTCTCATTAGTATGAGCAGCACTCTAGTATTACCTTTGCTGCTGCTCAGTTTGAAACAAATTAATATCTAGTTATTCCCAAAGCCATTACATCTAGAAATGAAAAATCTTGTTCAAATGGATTTAATGAATATGCAATGAGACCAGATGTTACCTCTCGTTATTGAGGTGAGTCAGAACTTATTGTAACTTTTCCATCGTCACTTCAAGGCGGGAGTGGAAAGCTTTGCTTTCAAAGCAATCAGGAGCTTTCTGTTTACAGGGAAATGATAGTATGTGTCATCCTGGATTGTGCAACTGATGTACAAGGTTTAGAATTGACCTCAAGTTATATAGCAATGTTGTACTTATAAATTGAAATTTGACATTTCTGTTCATCAGTTAAAAGCATTTACAAAAGTGGTGGATATTTTGATGTTACCCATAGCAGTGGGAGGCTGAAACACAGATGTGTGGATTAAGTCAGTGGCAGTGACAGTGACCAACTTCTTTAAGAAGTCCTGGCTATAGTGATGTTATCTTGACTTTTTATTCTGTCTCCTGTTATCAGTGCAGAAGTATAGATATTTTGAAAGAGAGAGCATTACTTACCTCTGAAAATCCCTTTAAAGATCTCAGTATTTATGGTGATATCCAAGGTCATGAGAGCTGTAAGTACTTGATATGGCTGTTGTCAGACAATGAACTCGAATAGGCGATCACATCCCAGATGAATGCTTTAATAATTGGACAATTGGTTATGATAAATAGCTGTCTGATAAATGCCATTTGTGCAAAATTAATTTTTTAATAGACGTGGAGAAAGAAATACCACAGAATACTAAATAGCATGGTGGTTTCTGTATTTATCAGGGCACCCCCTCTGCAGTCCTTCAAATCCCAGCTATTTTTCCTGATGGCCATGTTATGCTGGCTGCCTTTTTTGAAGCTACAGTGCTATCCTCGTTTGGATTGGGAATATATTTGAAACCTCAATAATATTAGTTGCAGCAAGAAAAATTCAGTCCAGCTGTAGTCAGGATTTTGGTTTTCCGTCCTGTTTAAAAATTCACATTTGCAATAGAAACTGCATCTTTGAAAACTGGCAACAGGAAAAAAATCTTCTGTTCATTCATCTAAAAATGCAGCATGGGTTCTTCACATTTTTTTCTTTTTTTAAGTGAGAAGTAGTTTAAGAAAGAGTCCTTTGTTTTTGCAGCAAGAATTTCAGTCACCAAAAGTTAGATAACATCTTTAGCACTCCCCTTTGAAAATTACCATTTAATGAAAACAAGATAATTTGCAGTAATTTGTTCCTTCTGGCTAGATATCTATTTGAAAGCTTTATGTAGTCCAGAAGAAAGATAGAAGAAATAGCTCTCTGAAATAATGAATAGTTTAGGATACAAAAGACAATGATTCATTGTTCCAATCCAAAGCCTCCAACCCTGAGCCGGAGTCTGTCTTTTAGCCCAGTCTTCTATTCTTTTATTAGGTATTTATGTGTGTGTATGCCTGTATATTGTATATATATAGATAGATATAATGCCTTGAACTGAGTGAAATAATGCAGCACTAAGGTCTTTTTGGGAAAGGGAGACTTGTGAGCAAGTCCATGCTTGGCAGGACAAGTTCTGAGACACTGTGCTGTTTTAATGTGTCTCTCATTTTCTTTCATAGCTGTTTGTCAAAGGTTGATTTTCTTTTGACATAAGAGTAATTTTTTTAAAAAATGATCTTGAATTGTCCATATTATTATTCATTCATTTTAAAATTTCTTTTACTTGATCTTCTCTGTGAAAAAGAATATGATATGATCAAAATATGTCTTTTCCCCTTTAATGTTCCTGATGGTCCTCTTAATTTCCCTTTTTATAGGTGGGCTGGATCCTGTCCATCCTTGATGAGCTGCAACTCAGCCCCCCACCTCCTGTTGCTGTCCTTCCACTTGGCACTGGGAATGACCTTGCCCGCACCCTCAACTGGGGTGGGGTAAGGACTGGCTTGGGTACCCTTACATGGGGGTTCTCAACTTGCTGCTCAGATTATTTGTGTGGGGTGAAACTTTTGGCTAAAACAGCAGGCAGGACTGTGTCCAAGGTCTGCTTCAGGCTGGCAGAACGGTTTGCTTCAATTTGCAGTCGGGGATTTTGAATTACTAATGATGTTCTTGCAATAAAAATGTATGTCGATATATCTGGTATTTCAGGCCAAGTATCAAGAACAGTAAACAGACTTCTAATTTAAGCATAGTTGAAACTTTCTCTTTGGTTATCCTTTACCACAGTACTGGACTTATTCCAGGAAAAGCAAATATACTTTGAATTCCTCTCCTTATGGCCTTACTTTGCCTGCCCTAGACTTGTGCATCTCAATAGTAGCTTGTTAAAATGTTCAATCAAAAATTTATCGAGGATCTTAGGCATGTGTATAAGGAGGGAAGTCTGTCAGGTAATTGGTGAGTAATGTGATTTATTTTCACCATCTGTGGCTGATATTCTGGTCACTCTGCTGTCAGGGTTACACAGATGAGCCTGTGTCTAAGATCCTGTGCCATGTAGAAGATGGAACCATTGTCCAGCTGGACCGCTGGAATCTTCAGGTTGAGCGCAACCCTGATTTGCCCCAGGATGAGCTGGAGGATGGGGCACGTAAGGTTAGAACCTGCTTTTTCCCATGGAAACTACAGAATGCTTATCAACCTCTTTGGGTTACGCTTTAAGCAGCATGGGTGGGGAGTTCTGCAACTTTTAAATTTTCTATTTGCTTCTCTCTCTTTGATTCTTTTCATGTGTCAGTGATTCCAGAGTTGTGTGAAAGGCATTTATTTGTTGTTTGAAACACTCTGGCATTGAACATTTATGTCAAAGATTAAATCCTGGAAAAAAATCCCTAGCATTTATCAGAAAGATCATTGCTGTGTTTCTCTAGTTGCAGAAGAAGCAACCCTGTGGCTACCATCCATTCCCCAATTAGACAAAGCTAAACAAAAGGATGTAAAATTTTATTCCTTAGGATTTTGCTAATGGATACTGGCTGTTTCCTAGTTTACAGCAAGGTGTAGTGTATTTTTGTATTTAACTTCTTTGTGTGCGAGTCTCCGTGTCATCTCCACTAGTGTAACTTGGTAGTTGAAGAGCGAGAAAATTTTTGTGAGGAATTCACATAGTAATGCATAATTTGGACTAGAGATGTTGAAAATACTACAAAATTTAAAAAAAACCTCCTGATTCTCATTTATAAATTCCAGCTTATCTATTGGATGCTACAGATGCCTCTCTATAGCCCAGCTGGGTGTGTGAAACAAGATGTGTGCCTGCCTGCCTTTGTGCATCCTCAATAGGATTAGGGCTTCTTCTCTGGGACTTGGATTGCTCTTGGTTATATATGAAGGGAGAAGAACACAGCTGGAGTTTCATTTGCTATGCTGAAGAACCAGCAAAACCTTTGAAAACCTTTGTGTTGGTGATATCTTAAGTGGTGCAGCCTTATGGGAAATCTTAATGACAACATAAGGAACCCTTTGATGTGTTAACAAAGACACATATATGATCATAAAGCACTGCAGGTCTATTTGTGTTCTTTGGGCTCTTGTATCCAATCATTTTCCACAAGCCATTACAAACCTTCTGCTTACATTTCCCTGATATGTTCCACTCCGTTCTTAGTAGGTTTCCATGATGAGCCAAGTTTAAATAGTTAAACCCTGGTGTGTCAAGAAATGTTCCATTCATGTTGTTTTTATGTCTCTTTTTATTATCTAATTACAGCTTCCCCTCAATGTCTTCAATAATTACTTCAGTCTTGGATTTGATGCACATGTTACGCTGGAGTTCCATGAATCCAGAGGTAATAGGAACTTTTTATTTCCTTAGCCTTGTGGCATTTATTTTATTAATTAGAAATAGAGTTGGATTTAATATCCTGTTCTTATAGTTCAGAAGTAAAGTTGGAACATAAATCCTTAAGATACATACAAGAAGAAATAGTGATTGTATCATGAGTTTCTGAGAGACTTCAGGATTAGGAAATGAATAAAGTACCAAGTACAAAGAAGACTGTAATTTACTGGAGGAAAAGGGCTAAAAGTGAAGCTTTGTGAAGTGCTAGATCTTGTAAAGGAGATAATATATTAAGTCAGGTGTGAGTGTGGGAATGGAGGGAAGAGCCACAAGACTGGAAGTAGCAGGAATATAGTTGTGTTCTCAAACTGAACAGCTATTACATCTGGATCAGTACAGCATAACATCCCTGAACTTGGTACAGACCCAAAGCATCTCTCTGCAAATTAAAGGTATGCAGGAATCTGAGCAGTTGTAGTACCTTATCTGTCCCCTTGCCAGTGGCAGTTATGCCACCCTGTACAGATTGACATGTGGCTTAAGGACTGAAATGAATGGCTTTGCACTGCTAGGAAAGGCTCTATTTATATGGTTTAGGTAGATGTGCTTGTAGAAATAAACCTTGCTTAGGTGTCTGCCTTCAACTTTTGGTCATTCCAGCTTCACATGCAGGTATTTTTTCTGAAACACAGCCTTTCTTATATTCACTGTCATACTATCAGAATGTCATTTCAAGATGAAAAGATAGCACTCTAATTCCAGGCTAAATAAAGAGCAGGATACATGATGGAATGAGCTAATTCATATTTTATGATGTTTAAGACTGCTTCAAGCTTTAGGAATAATAATGAGGGGCCGCAAAAGGGCACAGGAATGAAATTATGACAACTGTATGCATTTTTTTTATGAGTGCATGTCACTCTGCATTGCAAATGTGACTGTGAATATATTGTATAGATTAAATGCATTGCTACTTTCTCATTTAATGGAGGCATTATTTAATAATGAAGTTATGGAGCCTTATAAAGGATGAATGTTATTCCAAACATGCCAGTGCTTTAAAAATTTACAGAGGTGAAAAAGCACTTGGCAGAGCAAGCTGTGTGTCTGAATATGAATGGACAGGAGAGCTTCTTATAGGACAAGTCTTCACTGCTGGTGTCGTTCTTGCCTTCTCAAATGGTAAAATCTATGATGTGAATTCTGTGTATTTTAGAAGAGCAAAACTTATAGCCTTGGAGGTGTTGCTTGTGTGTGGGTTGTAGTGTTTTTCATGTGGAACTGGGGTTATTCTGCCTGGAGAAGAAAAGGTTCCTGGGAGCATGTATAGCCTTTCAATATTTGAAGGGGATTTATAAGAAAAATGAGTCCTGTTTCAATAGGACAAGGGATAACCGTTTTAAGCAGAAAGAGTGTAAATTAGGACTAGATATAAGGAAGAAGTTTTTAACAATGAGGGTGGTAAAACACTATCACAGGTTGCCCGGGGGGGTGGTGGATGCCCCATGCCTGGAAATGTTCAAAGTTGGGTTGAATGAAGCTCTGAGCAACCTGATCTAGGTGAAGATGTCCCTGCCCATTGCAGAGGGTTGGAGTAGAAGGACCTTAAAGGCTCCTTCCAGCCCAAAGAATCCAGTGGCTGGTGAATTAAGCAATGCAAAGCAGGTTATGATCTTATTTACCCTAATGACAATCCAGAGAAATTCTTAGCAACAGTAGCAAAATGTAAAACACTTTCACAGCTATAGCATTTGTGCTCTTGAGGTAAGTGGCTGTATGCATTTGCTTATGTGGAGCTATTGTAATCACATATAGTATTAAAACAAATGAATACCATGCCTGCAAACCAAAATAAGGTAAATTGTTATGAGCTTTCAGCCTAGCATGACACTTTATGCAGTAGAGATTGGTCAGCTATATGTTATATTTAAAGTAAGCAGTGATTGCAGTGTCCTATATATTAATGTGGCCTTTTCTATGGCAACCTCTACACTTTTCATGTGACTAATCACATTGAGGCTTGAGGGTTGGATGCAAGTCTAATGTATTTAGCTCTGCTTCTTTGGGAAGTGTTCTGGGTAGGGGCTCTTTCCAACTTCCTCTTTTGGTATCCTTATGCTTTGGTACAGCATGGAAGATACAATTTACTTTATCCCTTCTGACAGGATGTTTGATCCCTCAGTTGTGCAGAATTGTTTGTTTGCAAGAAACTCCCCCTCTGCACACAGACAGTCTAACACATTCCATTTTCTACTTCCTTGATGGTTTAGGAATGGTGAGGGTGCAGTGAGCCTTGGATATGCACTCAATAATTTACTCCTACAATCAAAGTTGCACGCTAATCAACTTAAGGCTCTATTTTACATCACAGAGTCCTTCCTCCCTACCTGTGCTCATCTCTGTTGGCAGAAGTAGGACCAGTAGGTTGAGGGATTGCTGAGTCCCTGACATCAGAAATGTTCCTTTCTTATTCTAAACTGGGCTTTAGTTATGGAGAGTATTTGTCATAAGATCCAGGTAAGGTCCAGTGCTGTGGTGTGTGCTGTCTGGAACCATTGGGGATACTCACATGAGAGAATGTGCAGCACAGGCACTAAGCTTTCAGAAGCCTTCTGCTGCTTAGCACAGGGTGTTGAGACTCTCTGCAAAGAGCTGTGAGCTCAATAAGTGAGATGAGATTGACCTATGCAATTAAATTCATTGTTTGAAGTAGAAGTGGCCCTGACTGAGTTTGAGTCACCTGTGACACAGCAACAGATACAGTAATTGAGCCAGCAAGCAAATCAGAAACCTCAAGCAGCTCATTCTTACAAAATGGAGCCGTATTTTGTGTGATGTAGTGGCTTTCAAGAGAAATAGAAGTATTGTTTTAACTGGTCATTTGAGAGGTAATTTGGATGTGTCCACACTAATGTGATACCAGAAGGACTGCCTTGGTAATTTGATATTTTCAGTAGAGAATCAATGAACCAGGGTGAGTAGTTGGCACTAACACTGAATACAGGGTCAGAAGGGTTGCTTCTGGAATCTCTAAGTGCCACAAACAAGGAAAGCAGTTTCCATGGAGGCTCAAGAATGAACTGTATGCTGCAAAATGTGCCTTATATTGGGAGATTAAGGGAACTCCATTTAGCTTCTTGGAAAGAAGATTAAGAGGCAGTTTAATCATTGCCTACAAGTATTTACTGGAGGAGAAGATATGTGATAGTTGAAGGTTCTTTAATCTGACAGAGAAATATAACATTTAGCAATTGGCAGCTGAAGACTGAAAATTTCAAGATTGGAAACTGCCACATTTACATTAAGAGTGAGAATAATTAACCATTAGATTTACATTACTACTAGACTTAAAATTCTCCATCACTTGGAGTCTAATCAAAATGAAACAGCTTTCTAAATAGGTTTTAGAGTAACCAATTCTTTTTTTTTTCCTGCAGAAATCTTTGTGTAGAAATGTCTATTCCTTAATAACTCTTTAACACATCAGAATTTTGGGGCTGTTTCATCTTGTAATTTAGTAATGTTTTACTGCTGGTTGAAAGTATGGGTTATTTATTTCATAAATTTCTAATAATTCTTACAGATTCATTCTTCATTGTTAGAAACAGAAATCTTACAAATTCTATGGAGGGATCATAAGATGAACAGTCTGAAAGTTGTTAAATTAACTCATTGAATTCTTGTTACCTCTTTGCTCATGTTGCCCTCTATTTCCACTCTCAACAAGAAAAGGGAAGGATTCAATATCAGTGTTGGAAATCTAATAGCAGAGAAAGGCACAGATGGGTGACTCACACATGGAAAACATATTTATGTTAATATTTTCTATGAGTGATACACTGAAAGCACTGTAGTGCTGGCAGGGAATGTGACGGTATAATGAAGTCTACTTGTTTTATTAGGGTGTTCATACTTTTATTTTTCATCCTTTCACAGAAGCAAATCCAGAGAAATTCAACAGCCGATTTAGAAATAAAATGTTTTATGCAGGGGTAAGTACATCTTTCTCTTACAGAATAATGTTAACTTAGTTCCTTGAATGTCTTCTTAGTTACCTTCCCCCTCACTTTCTCACATCAGGAGCTCATGCCAGTTCATTCTGCCTGTCACAATTTCAAGTGCACACATGCTGTTTCTGGTAGTGCCACACACAGGTGTCTGTAGAAAAGAGCCTGTGATACTTTTATTATGCAGAGCTGAGCAGGTGAGGAAAGTGCCACTCCTTTGGACACAGTCCTGGTCATATCTTAGTCCCTCTGCTTCTGGCTCAGAAGCTTCTCAAGGCACTGCTCTGCTTCTTTCAGGGTTTGGAAAAGGCATTGATACTGACTTTCCTAGAGGAATTCCCAAAGTTTTGGCCTGTATATTTGTAGCTTTGAGGAGCAGTCTTGGATGTAAGGTCATGGCGAGTGCAGGGCACAAATCAGATATTTGGAGTGATTAATGGTAGGTGAATATGGACATATAATTACTCACTTGTGCATTCAGGATACAAATGGACTTTATTCTAAAGCCATTGAAAGCAAACACCAGTTTGATAATGAATGACATATAATGTATTTCTGGATGATGACACCCATTGTACCCACGTGCCTTAAACATGGAAACAAATATGCGAGCAAGAATTTAATGGTCCAGGATACCATTGCACTTGGGTTCCAAGGCCTTTTTTTCATTTAAGCTCTCAAAAGGAGAAGTATCACAATTTAAAACAATATAATCAAATCAAATATTCTGAGAGAGTAAGTTTGATCAAAGGATGGCATTTTGATAATTAGCTCTGTGGATGGATAAGAACTAAGAAAAAAAAAAGAGAGGCAGTGTTGACAATTCCTGCACTTATTTCTGCTACAGGCAGCCTTTACAGACTTTTTGCAAAGAAGCTCAAGAGATTTATCCAAGCATGTTAAAGTTGTGGTAAGTATAAAAAATTCTGTCATAGTATTGTGGGAAGGGGGTGGAGTTGGAGGTTTGGAGAGAGAGTGAGGTGAGAGTTTAATGGCTCTGTTACTTTTCAGTTTTGAGCATGACATTTGCAACACATTCCAAGGAAAGTCTTGGGAAAGTTGTTACAAAGCAGCAACACTTCTCTTGTCTGTGGCTCCATTCAGCAATTTCTCTGTGCTCTGTCACTTTGGCTTTGTAGTGTGATGGTACAGACCTGACTCCAAAGATCCAGGAGCTGAAGTTCCAGTGTATAGTGTTTTTAAACATACCCAGGTAAGCTCAAGACAGATTCTTGAAGTTATACGAGAAAAATAACAATACTTTTCAAAAGACACCTACCAGTTGTCCTAGGCTGGGTGAATGTACAGGAAGCATTTTGCCTCTAGGCTACCTTGTTGAGAGCTGGCTCCGTATAATGCTGTTAATGAGCTGTGCAGAATGGCATCAGAGTTCAGGGTGCAACAAAACCATTCTTTAAAAAGGTTGAATATCCTGATACAGTAGAAATGCTTAACAAACACACAGTAGAAATGCTTAACAAACACACTTTGAAAAGCTGTGGATCTAACCTGCAAACAGGGAAGTAAAGGGACAGATATGTGGTCTTCTGCTTAATTAGAATCAAAGTGTGAAAAAAAGGAGAGGAGTAGAAGGGGACAGAAATGAAGAGAGGGGAAGGATAAATATTTTACCAGTTAAGGAACACCAAACTGCTGGAGGAAGTCATAATTTTTAACATGTTACAATGTGTCCTTAGTAAAAATATAGCTGAATTATCAAAAGTTGTTGATCTCCTGCTCCCTAGAACAGTAGTCTCCAAACTTAATTGTACATTTCTACGAGAAAAAAGCTTTTAAGCACCACCCCAATATATGTATATTTATAATTTATATACATGTACCTTTATACTAGTATTACAAGCAATATAAAGCATGCACAAATATGAATTAAGAAAGAATGTCATAAAGATGAAACAAATATTTATTTTAATGTTTGTTTTTAATGTTTGCTTTCTTATTGAAAGTAAAAGTAATATTTTTCTCCATACACTCTAATTGTCTTGTCAGTTGTGGATTTTTCTTGCATGCACCCCACTTTGGAGACCATTGCTTTAGACATCCTCATACTTGGCTCCACAGGCACTCCCAAGCACTTAAATTTTGAGCCCTTCACTGCAAGCTTCTACTTGGTATCACCTCTCCAAAGTTCCCCCTTCTATCACTTTAAGATCACTTTTACAGCTATACTTTGATGGCAGAAAAGAGAGATGCCACTGCTGTATCTGTTCCTGCTTCTTATGTCTCCCTGCCTCATCAAACTATGCAACATTTTGCATTATTTGTGCTGTTAGAACTGCTGAGCTAGCAGGGTGAGAGGAAAGAGGGGCAAAGCAGCTTTATGGCTCAACAGCTCACCAGTAGGAACCAAAGCAAATAGGAAGAAAAGAGTGCTGTTGCTCTATGACCTATTTCCTGGTGTTTCCCCATTTTCCTCTCAGAGAGGAACCTGATAAAGTTTATGACGAATACATCTGAGGGTGTTGTATCAGCTTGGGAATAAAGAGAACAGGCCCAAAGGCTGCTAGTCAGGACCCATCAGGGCAAGCTGCTTTCTCCAAATCGTTCTCCAAACCTCTCTCTGTAGGTATTGTGCTGGCACAATGCCCTGGGGGAACCCCGGTGACCACAGAGACTTTGAGCCCCAGCGTCATGATGATGGCTACATTGAAGTCATTGGGTTCACCATGGCCTCACTGGTGAGTGCATGGGGCTGCTGACAGGCTGGGTCAGCCCCATGGGCAACACTGCAGAGTGCAAAATGCTTCTTGTTACTGAAGAACAAATGTCTTTCCTCATAGTCAGATAAAGCCAAAGCATGTTCTGCTGTTAAATGGCAAAGTCAAATTGTTCTTTTCTAATAAGAGTTATTTAATAACAAAAAGTATTACTTGCAAAATATGGCTGATTTGCACGTACAGTGCTTCAAAGTTAAATGGCAAGATTATTACAGTAAGAACAGTATGATAAGAGCATGAAGTCATTATTTTACTGTGGGATTTTTTTTTATGATCAAATAAACACTCCTTTTTCTTTTTAACTTTTGCATGTTTTGTATGTTTCAATCTATGGCATTAAAGTCTATTTTTAGGTATGGCTGGTATATAAATATGAATTATTATATAAAGTTATATGCACATACAGTTTCTGTATGCTCACCAAAAATCTTGTGAAACTTTCGTAATAGCTGTGGAAAACTTTATTACCATTTCTTGCATGAATTTTATCTCTCCTTTTTATTCTGGTAGGAAAAGGAAATTCAGCCAACAAATTTGTCAGTGCACTTTCTTTCAATGCTGTCCTTAAAGTGAACTAAAACTGAGTTACCATAAAAGCAATCTGGCTGTAAATACCCTGGTGTCCTGCTAAGGCAGTGGTCAGGCACTGTGACAGTGTCTTCAGGGGGTGCTTAAATGCAGCCAGAGCTGGCAATTATGCCCCTGCTAGCACCAACCTACCTAAGTTACTGCGGCTTGGGCTTAGTGTGGCCAGCAGAAGGCCCACAGCTGGACTTCCTGACAAGATTTTATAGCTCACACTTAGCTCCATATCTGTAGGCCTTTGTTGCTGCTGTCTCATGTAAGCTAGTTTAAAACAAAGGTGGATAAGCCTGTTTTAGCTAAACTTTCTTGTTGTGTGACCTGCCCATAGTCTATATCACTTTCAGTAAATACCCACGATAATAGTGCTTGTTTCCCTAGAGAGAAATTTAGGCAAATCTAATCTTCAAAGTAAGCAAAGAGCAGTCTTGGTCAATCTTTTCTTTAAAAGTTTGTCTGGGTTAAGGATACTTTCCTGGCTGACACAACGACTGGAGTCTTTAGCTACCTCCTTAGAACACCAGCAGCCATGCCAAAGTGTGTGGAACAACTCCAGGATAAATTCACTAGGAGCTGAACTTCAGAGCTGCAGCTCTACAGTGGGATTAGCTTTACCAGGGTCAGGGAGAAAAGTAAACAAGTCGACGGATGCTTTCCACCTAATACTCCAGAAGGTCTTTTAATCGAGAAACTCAAAAGATAGAGAGGAGCTCTGCAGTGGTTTATATATAGGCCAAAACCGGTGGGTGGGTACAAACAGCCAACCAATGGGATAACCTTAGGGGAGGAGTAAGGGGAGCAGTTTACAGAGCTAGTTCCAATGAGAGGGAAGGGGAGGAGAAAGAGGAGTGGTTTACATCAAGGTGGATACAATTTGGGGAGAAACCAACTTGGAACAACATAGGGAGGGCTTTGGAAGCAACCATTATCCAGATTATGAAACTGAAAGCTGGTGTAGCACAAACACTAACCACAACACCTGGCCTCTTTTTTTTTGTATTTTTTTTTTTTTTTTTTTTTTTTTTTTTTTTTTTTTTTTTTTTTTTTTTTTAATTTTTATTTTTATTTTTATTTTTTTTGGATGGGCTTAGTGGATTAGGGAAATAACCCAGATGAAAAATTGTATTAGCCTAGTAGATCTTGTGGAATAAATGTGAAGAGTTTTTGAAAATACTGTCAAAATTCTCTTTAGCATGTACAAACTGACAGTTTTCAGTCAAAAGAGATTTTTGTGTTTGCCACTAACACAGTTCTAGTCAATGGAAGTGGCTAGACGGATCTCAAAAGCTACCAACAATCTCAACTGGGGCTGAATTTAAGAAGTAGGGCCCTTTGAGCTGCTGTTTCTCTTTAAAGAAAGCGTAATTGGGAACTGAGGGTTTACAGGTGCACTTTGGTTGTGATGCTACAAAATAACTGTAACCCTAGATTGTATTGATATAATCCCAGTTTGCCTTGTATGTGTTTCAGATGTGCTTGTTGTACCTAAGTGGGTCTGTGAAACTGAGGGAAAGAACTGCTTTATAAAAAGTATTATTATATTATTGATAATATTGTCAATTGATCCATAATATTAAGTGCACAGGCCTTGACTTGTGTTTAGGCTGTTCTATATTGGCATTGCATTAATATGAAATTTTTTTCTGCATGAGAGATGAGTTAGTTGTCACATAATAGTCATAGTCATTAAAAAAATAAATTTTTGCCCGAACATGTCTGCCTAGAACTTGAAGGATCTGCTCATCATCTTCCTTACTTAACTTCTTTGAAATGAATTCTTAAACATGATATTTAATTGTTTGAAAAATGTCCTTATTCTTGTTCTTTTCAGCCTGTCTAATGTTGAGGTTGATTTGATGTGTAAGCTTTCATAATAAAAATTTTAAATTTATCTAATTCACATTAAGGACTATTCTGTTCAGGAAGGGGAAATAATTTTTCTGTCTCACAGATGTATCTAATTAGGGATGTTGTTTTAAAGAGCAAATAATTATTAACATTACTGTATTGTAAAAACAAACCAACCAAAACAAATTGAAAGCTTTAAGAATGAAAACAGTTATTAATTTGTGTGCACATGTGTGTGTATATATAGATCATGAGTCCTATAATGCATGTGGTTAGATATCTGTTTGTTCCCCACCACTTTTCTTTATTAAATTTTGAATATTGCTTTGCAGTTTTGGGGTGAAAACACTTTCATTGTGCTCTTTTAGAGTAGCTTAGGTATGGAATACTGTGTAATGGATGCTGTCACCAAAGTGGCATTTTGGATTGGCTAACTGCCTCAGCTATCTCTGTTCTGAGGTATCTTATTTTCCCTGCTTGGTGTGTTGTTTGTTTGTGGTTTTTTGTTTGTTTGTGTTCTTTGTGTTTTGCAGGCTGCTCTGCAGGTGGGTGGTCATGGAGAGAGGCTGCACCAGTGCCGGGAGGTGACGCTTTTGACGTACAAGTCAATCCCCATGCAAGTGGATGGCGAACCCTGTCGGTTGGCTCCCTCCCTCATCCGGATCTCCCTGAGGAACCAAGCCAACATGGTGCAGAAAAGCAAGAGGAGAACGTCTATGCCCTTGCTGAATGAGTGAGTTGCCTATGTGCATGTCCTAACGGCAGGAGGCCTGTGTGGGGCAACATATTCTGTCATGGATTTTGCATGTACTGGACTTGCAGTGCATTTGAAAAATAAATTAAAAAAAAATCACATCTTCTGAAGTCCCTTTTCACTCTATTGTAAATACTTATCTTTCTTTTACTCTTTATCTTCTGAGTTACCCCTGTCTTGCTTTTGGACTGATGTTGTATCTTTCTGTTATTTATTTATTTATTTAGAGAGGTTTCTGCAGGCTTGGCAGTGTGCCCCTTGGCTTCTGGTGGTTCTGCATATGTGTGCCATTTGCCCTTGAAGTTTTTTTGATTTAGTTTTTCAGCTTTATTGATCTGCTTTTATTAGCTGTATTGAAGACCCCATAAGAAATTGCAACAATCAAGAACTAATCAGGACATATTTCAGTCTCTGGTGTGAGCACATGCTGCCTGACAGAGTTTGTGGAGAAAGATTTGAATGTCCTGAAAGAACTATTTGTGCTTTGTAGGAAATCCTTCTCCAGTATAGAAACCCAAATAAGAAATGAGTGTTGTAAATATGACTAGAGAAAAGCTAAGAAGATTGGAAACCAGTAACTTGAGAAGAGGAATTCACAGGGCTAACATGCCTTTTCATGGTTAAACTTTCTTTACAAGAACTGCAGATATATTGTAATCAGAAGAAAGCAATAAATAGTCAAGTTTTGGCCAACGAAAGTGGCTATCCAATAAAATAATTTATATTCTTTTGTAGAGGGTATTATTGTAATACTTGTATAGGTTTTTATTGCTCCTAAAATGAGTAATGCAAGGGACTTAGCTGTTTTTCATCAAGTATTTTAAATGTGAAGCAAAACAGTATACCCCTTATCAAAAGATACTGAACTAATGGCCTAAAGTTATTAAGAATCCACATTTAATTCAAACACTCATGCACTGAGGCTTTAATATTTCTGGGGAAACAGGTGGGGAATTTTGCTGTTGCAATTGTAATGGTGAGGCAGGTTCTGTGAAGAGATGTAATACTTTTCAATAGACTAATTCATATAACTGAAAAAAAAAGGACAAGGTCTTAGGCACAGCTTTTCTCTTCAGCTATCTTGAAAGTTGTCCCCCTCACAGCTGTGTATCTAGAGAAAGATACTGCTTTACTTCAAATTTCAAATCGAGCCCTTAAGAGTTTTTTTGTCATCCCCTGGCTGTCAATTTATTAATATAATCAAAGCCACCCTGATTACTTTCAGTACATTCCTGTTCAATTAGCACTCTGTTCTCTTACTGAGACTAATGCTTTTCTCTTACTAAGACTATGTTTGCAGTAGAAGCCCATTTCTCTAATGTGCAGTTCTATTTACCTGGGAAATACCTAAGGTATACTCATCTTTCTTGGGCAGAGAATAGCAGAATCTTGACTATGGGCATCAGTGCCCAATTTCACCCAACCACAACTTCTCAGTCATCAGTGAAAGCTAAAACAAAGCAAAGGATGATCCTGGGACATCTTTTTCTGCACAGGAGACTAATGCAAATGTAAAAAGAGAATTCATAGTATTTCAAACTGATAATTAGCATGGTTAGGTTTGGATTTTTAGGTCTCAGTTTAAACTGTGGTAGGGAAATATAGATTTGTAGTATATGCCAATTGTCAAGGGGATATTCTTTGCGGTTTGGCTTGATTTAAATGTCCCATGGTGCACTAAATTGCTGTCAGAGTCCTTTGATTTGGCTATTTTGGGTATTTTTCTGCAGATCTATGTGTTGGGAAAATGCAAATGATGTGTCAGGAACTGTAGTCTTAGCTTCACATGTCTGAAACTGTGTATATATTTACATCTATTTCTATGTATATCTGTGTATGTACTCCGCTCTGAGGTGTTGAAAAGGAAGGAGAGAGGACTTGAATCTTCTAATGTGATAAAAAGTAAATGTCTTGTTAAAGGCTAAAATCTACAAAGCATATTAGTATTGTAAGATGTTCATTCAATATGATGATGATTGGTAGTATTGTACAAGTGAAGAAATTTGTAATTAAATATGTTTCTCTATTTTTTCTTAACTTGATCTCTAGTATATAACTCCTTGTTCTGTTGGAATCTCCCGGAGAGCCTTCTATTGGATTGAACATGATAGATTATGTGTTTTTTTAATGACTATCATTTGAATATTAGATTTGTGAGATAAATCGGTGGGTCCGGAGCTGTCCTTAATTACTAGACAGCCCTTCTGGAGCTCCTTGCCAGGAAAGCAATTAGAAAATTATCTTGGTCACAGAAATGTGGAGTTGTTATTATTTTCAGCTTTGATATTATTGCCACATAAGAAGTGGGAGTGAGTAGAAAAAGACTTAATTTGAAGATGTTTTACACTGTTCCTGTATTTTTTTGTCCTGATCCTCTTTTTTTAGTGGGTGTATTTTTTTTTCTCCTTGAAACACTTGGCTAAGTTCTCATTCCTGTTCTCCACTCTTGATCATGGTAGCACGTGACAGAGACAACACATAGCTCGGTTTTCTGTGACTGAGCCAAGAATGTGGTTGTTGTCAGCTATACCAAAAATTGTGAGGAATAAGAAGAGGAACTGTAGTTCAGCTTTTCCAGGAATAATTTTCTGATTAGAAACTCCTGTACAGTATACTCCCCAGTAAGTTTCAGCTAATGATCGCTTTCTGAATTGCAAAATGTATTTCGCTGTACTGACTTTTAATTTGGGTTGAGGAAGAGCATTGTGCACAATGGAAGAGAAAGAAGAGGGAAGAGCTTTTAGATAAAACATATTTGATGCATTCAAGATAAAGAAAGAGATCATTTGAATATAAACACTAGAGGTGAATTAATATTGGGAGTCACTACATATAAAATGCAAGTTTCCCTAAGGTATGAGAAAGAAGAATGAAAAGAGCAATTTGTTATTGCGGATACAAAATCTCTAGTAAGGTTTTTTTTTCTTAAACAGTAATTAGAGATGGTCAACTCTTGGAAATAATTCCATCCGTCTGGATCACAGCTTTGTTGTTCGTTTGTGTTTCTGGACCTGCTTCCAAGTCTGTTGCTCTGAAATTTTCCAATGCCTGTGGAAGAAATTCCGGGGTCCCTTGTCTTCCTTGTATATTTGTGTGCCGAGCTTGTCACTGGTCCTCACTTGTGTCTTTGGAAAGCTCCTGTGTGCCACATAGCAGTGATTTTCTCCATTCGCATGTCTTCAATTGCTCTTGACTTCCTAGTGTGAACTCAGAGATCTGCATGTCGCTTCATTCAACTTTTATGTGACACATTCCTTTTGTTTCTGTTTAAATGTTGTGTGTCTTTCTCTATCTTTCTTCTCTTCCACTCCTCTCTCTCTCACGTTTTTTTCTTGTCTGTCCTCACTGTGTACTGTTTTTCTCCTGGCCACTCATTTCCTGCTGCCTTATAGTATCCATAAAGTGCAGTCTGCTGACCTGAGGAGAGTCTCGGCTCCCCCTGATTCCTTCACTGTGTGAGTATCTCGCTTTTTTCTATTCTTTAAGTTCCACGGCCTTTTGTTATACCCTGTCATTCAGCCAAGATATAGGGCAGTAAAATCCAGTAACAAATTGGAAGAGGGAACTCAGATGACAGCATGACTGATGGGCATGGGATCTTGCCATGAAGGACTCAGTTCTGCAGTAGCCCAGTAAGGTGAGCAGGATGTCTAGTGATGGTGACCATGAGTCAGCTCCCTAGACATCCATAGCAGCAGGCACATCTGAAGTTTGATGCTGGGCACCATTCCTGGAAAGAATTGAGATGTGATCTTTTCAATTAAACACAGGAGGTTTCCTCTGAACATGAGGAAAAAATGCTTTTTACCATAAGGTTGACAGAGCACTGGCACAGATTGCCGAGAGAGGTTGTGGAATCTTCATCTTTAGTCATAATCAAACCTGCCTGCACAAAGTTCTGGACAGCCTGCTCTAGGTGGTCATGCTCGAGCAGCGGTTTGCACCAGATGACCTCCAGAGGTCTCTTCCAGCTTCAACCATTCTGTGATTCTGTGAAATTTCAGAAAGCTGCAAGTACTTCATTGTTATTTTGCAAACAAGGAAAGATTCCCAGTTTGCTGTATTCTGCTGAGAAGAATAAAGTAATGAAACCAACTTGTCTCAACAATTAAGCATCTAAATCAGCGTCTAGAAAAAAGTTGAGGTAACCCTTATTTCTTCCACAGAACATTGAGCTCTGTGTCTAGGAGAATGAGTACTATGAGTATTATTTCCAAGCTCAGGGATATCCCTTGGAAAATGACCTCCAAATTTTGATGCAGTTCATTTTAATGAGCCATTTGATATCAGTTGTCAGAATAAAGCAGGGAGAGAAAAACTTGCAAGCCCCAAACTAATTTGAAAGTCAAAGATGTTTGTATCTTAAAATCTGTAAAAATAGATTAAACATGCTGCACTAGGGCTGCCAATTAATGTGTCTGGCAAATTAAAATAAGAAACCATGAGGTAACAGGGAAATTTGATTTGGTTTATGATGGCTTTGAGATTCAAATGTTCTTTTGTTTTTTTGCTGAACAACATAGAAGCAGACTGAGTTCCAGTTAGTACTGAACAGCAGGACAGATCTTACGGAGACCTGGTGATGAATATAGCCTGTCTTAAATAAATGTCAGGATTTCTGCAGCATGAGATGCATGAGAATTTGGGGCAGCCAATTATTAGGCTCGAATAGTGTTGTTTTTCAGAGATAGTAGAACTGTACGGTCATTCTTTGCGAATGCTTATACAAGGCGTGTAAATAAATACAAGTGTTGTATTTTTGAGGAACTTTCAAAAGGAAGGTAAAGACTTGCATTTTCCTGCTGGATATTCAGAGATAAGAAGATGTACATGCGAGAGTACATTTGTTTTGTATGGTTGATACAAAGGAAAGCTGAACAAATTAAAAATTTGAAAAATAAAATGCTTGCGTAGCTTCTACAGTTCTACAAGTGGAATAAACACTGTGGGTAGTTTGTAATTATTTTTTTCAATTACAA